GACCATCGTGAAACTGTCGGAGCTTTTTATGAAAACCGCGCACTTGTACAAAGGATTTTAAAATTCGTCCTCGCTCTCTAAAGTTGTAATGATACCAATGTATATCTCATAGTGGGAACTGGACATTAATTTTCCCCCGACCTTTTAATTTTATCGGTGTTTTGTTCTTACAATCATTCCTTGCGTTTTTCTAATGGTGCGAAATTACCCATTCTTTGAGCGTTTTGCCTCCGTTTAGAGAAAGTCGGTGGTCGTCGTTTTTTGGGAGGGGATAGGGGATGTGGTCCACGCAACGTCGGGCGTACTCCGTTCCGCTATGCCCCGCCCCCCGCCCCGGCTAGCCGCGCTACTCTCCGCCACGCCACGCCGCGCCGCGCCACCCGCATATCATATGGCTAACACAATTACCCCACATGTCGTGGTGGGCGCCACGTGTTTGCACTTTTTAGCACCCCCTTTTTTTTGCAGCCATCGCCACCCTCCGTCCCTTTCGTCTTGTAGAACATAAAGCGTGTGGTCTATTTTTTTAAATGCAACTTTTAAAAAGTTTTTTTTTCTTTTTGCGTGAACAGAAACCGACTGGAGAGCAACGCTGAACACTGGAGCGCGCTGTTGCTGTCGATGCGGGAGCTCATCGAGTGGGTCATCCGGAAGGACACGGAGCTGAGCGGGCTGGAGCCCCTCGGCGGTGACATGGCCACGCTTCGGAAGCAGCAGGTAAGCGAGCTGAAGCAACTTACCATTTACAAAAATTATCAGTCCCCAAAATTCGGCCAAAATTTTGCAATGAAAAGAGAGAGCCAAAACTTTGGCAACCTAGGTGACATTGCGACAACGGCGTTTAGAGTGGCGTTCTCATTGAACTTTCCTCGATTGCACTTAAACGTTTGGTGCGCTGTCTGTTTCAGGACGACCACCGCGCCTTCCGCCGGCAGCTGCAGGACAAGAGGCCCGTCATCGAGGGCAATCTGCTCAGCGGACGGCAGTACATCGCCAACGAGCCGCCGCTCTCCGACAC